AGGTTAAATTAGTTATGTAAATAGAATCAAAGAGATTTATACAAATCATCTAATAATATATTCAGAAATCCTGAAAGGTAAGTAGCTGTTATTCTCATAGAGTAGTAGGATTGTGAAATAATAACTTGGCTAAGATTTGAATCCAAGGTTTGAGTCCCTGCTCAACAGCATCATTCTTAAAAATCAGGTGGGCTTTAATCTCACAATCTGAATTATTCTCTCTTTCTTCCTGTTGTTTAGGATACCTGTTGAACTAGTTCTTCGTTTGGAAATCATCCGTATCAAGGAAGAACAATCCACATCGAGAGTCACAAATGGAGAATCAATCTTGGGACTTCTTTGAAGCCCTCATGGGCAATATCAGCACCAACCAGACTCTTCTGAACAAGATGCCTCAGTTGCCCCTGGAGATGCAGGTAGTCACTATCTTGCTGGTCCTTCTGATCTGTGGGGTAGGCATTGCAGGCAACGTTATGGTCGTCCTGGTGGTTCTTCGCACCAAGCACATGGTGACTCCCACCAACTGCTACCTGGTGAGCTTGGCTATAGCTGACTTGATTGTGCTCCTGGCAGCTGGGCTGCCCAACATCTCTGAGGTGGTGGCTTCCTGGGTATACGGCTATGCTGGTTGCCTCTGCATTACTTACCTGCAGTATTTGGGCATCAACATCTCAGCATGCTCCATTACAGCCTTCACGGTGGAGCGCTACATTGCCATCTGCCATTCCATTAAGGCACAGCTGCTTTGCACCGTAGCCCGGGCCAAACGCATCATCGCTGTCCTATGGCTCTGCACTTCACTCTACTGTCTCATGTGGTTCTTTTTGGTGGACACCTCAAAAGCCATGTTTGCCGATGGCACTCAAGTCAGCTGTGGCTACCGTGTCTCCAGGAACCTCTATATGCCCATCTACTTCTTAGACTTCACCATATTCTATGTCATCCCCCTGGGCTTGGCCACTGTTCTGTACGGTCTCATTGCCCGCATCCTCTTCATGAATCCACTGCCTGCAACACCGCAGCATGCAAGCCGGATGAGCAAACGTAGCAGCTCCATCACTACCTCCAGCTCCATGAAGCACTCTTGCCGAGGAAACAAGGGTGCTTTGAGCTCCAGGAAACAGGTTCTTCTTTTTACTTATTTTTAGGTCGGGATGGAAATTAGATGTGTAGATGCATGGGACATTAGGAAGCCTTTGCCCAACTAGTCCTCTTATGAACACCTCTCTCTAGGATTTCAGGCAGAGCAATCAACACAATTCATATGAATCTTTCATGTGATGATAATGATGATGATGAAGAGCCGAGGTGGCGCAGTGATTAGAGTGCAGTACTGCAGGCTACTTCAGCTGACTGCTAGCTGCAGTTCAGCAGTTCAAATCTCACCGGCTCAAGGTTGACTCAGGCTTCCATCNTAAACCAAACCCCTAAACCTAATCCTAACCCTTACCTTAATTTAAATCGGCTTTCTGCCGCCGCACTGTTTTAAAGCGCTCTTCTGTCGCTGCGCTGTTGTCGCTGCGGTGATGACGTCACAGTAATAACGTCGCGGCTTTAGCGACGCGGTTTTATCACCGCTATTTTGACGAGCGCGGTTTTGTCGGGCCATGGGTTCTGACTAGTTCTGGAGAACCGGTAGCAGAAATTTTGAGTAGTTCGTATTGAAGACTGGACTGACAGAGAGGCGTTGGACTCATTGAGGTACTTTTCACAACTTTATTGGAACAAGAACTGCAGTAGACAGCAAGGTAACAACTTTAGCACCTTGCTCTGCTTGACAGCTATTTGTACGCGAGCTGTCAAGCAGAGCGACCAATAGGAACATTGCAGAAAGCCCGCTTCCAGCCAGACGTGTCTTAACCAATAGTCGCGAGCCTTGGGTTGCCGGGCTGTCAGTTGTAAGTCGAGGACTTGTGGATGGTCATATGTCAAGGGCTTGATACCGGTCGCAAGTTGAGGACCTTACCGTTTGGAGAACTGGTAAATACCACCTCTGACTGGCTCCGCCCCCATCTATTCTCTGCCTCCCGAGTCGCAGCTGATTGGGAGGAAATGGGGATTTTGCAGTATCCTTCCCCTGGAGTGGGAAGGGAATGGAGATTTTGCACTATCCTTCCCCTGCCACGCCCACCAAGCCTAGCCAACAGAACCAGTAGTAAAAAAATGGGAATCCCACCACTGGGTGGCATGGTGGATCAGTGATCCAGCCAAAAAGGCACTAGGCTTTTTGGCTGGAAAGTCGACAGCCCAGATTTACATTCTGAGTGCCACGCAATGAGGTGAGTTCGCATCCTTGCCCCAGCTCCTGCCAACCTAGCAGTTCAAATGTATACCGATGTGAATAGATAAATAGGTAACACTTTGGTAGGAAGGTAACTTAGCTTAATGATATCTTGCTGGCTCAATGGCTTTGAAATGGAGCTGAGCACCTACCTTTATAGTTGGCAACGACTAGTGAAGTAAAAACTGCAGGGACTCCTTTACCTCTTTTTACCTTGCAATAAAGGTAGGGTTGGGGGACGTGGTGGCTCAGTGGCTAAGACGCTGAGCTTGTTGATCAGAAAGGTCGGCAGTTTGGCAGTTCAAATCCCTAGCGTCGCGTAACGGAGTGAGCTCCCGTTACTTGTCCCAGCTTCTGCCAACCTAGCAGTTTGAAAGCATGTAAAAATGCAAATAGAAAAATAGGGACCACCTTTGGTGGGAAGCTAACAGCGTCCCATGCATCTTTAGCATTTAGTCATGCCAGCCAAATGACCATGGAGATGTCTTCGGACAGCACTGGCTCTTTGTCTTTGAAACGGAGATGAGCACCACCCCCTAGAGTTGGGAACAACTAGAACATATGTGTGAGGGGAATCTTTATCTTTAAAGGTAAAGTTATGACTTATGGTTGATGCTTCTTGTCTAGACTACCTCTGAGGGGCAGATGCACAGCTGGTCAGTAGGGAGGAGCAAAACAAGGCATTTTTATCCCAGCGTCCCTTCCTAGTTCACTCCAGTTCATTTTTGTGCTAAGGATTAACAATCAGCCACGATGTGAAAAGAGTGGTGAATTGTACTTCCATACAAATAGGAAGGACTGGAGGATAGCATGATAGATGTTTACCACCTGATATTTGAGGGGGGGGGAAGTTTCTTGAAAGGGAGGTTGAATTTTCTTCAGAGTGGCAACCTCAGAACGCCCACAGCATCATGATGAAATGGAAAGGCTTCATAATGGAGTGGGGAACATCACTGGGAACCGTAGCCCTGCCAACCTTTTCACTGGGCAATGCATGCTACTCACATTACAGAGGGGCATGGCTTTTTATGCCTGATCATACCCACCAGTGAAGCTGGTGATTCTTGCTGTGGGTATCCTGGGAACTTACTCCCCTTCCTGGAGAAAGAACCATCATCTTTCCCAATGGGGCATCTCGGTTGGGTTAGAGATATGGCTTCCAAGTTTTGTATCCTCCACTGATCTTCAGCTGGCTTAAAAATTGTGAGAATAGCAGTTCATCAATCTCTCCTGAGGTCATCAATGCATGGCTTAAACCTGTTTAAAACAGTGTTGTTTAAATTAATTCACAGCACTGTGCGCCTCATGATATTGCAGATACTTTCTCAGTGGTTCTTGGGTGCCAGCCTCCTCCCTTCCTCAGCTGTTGCTGATTTTTATTAAGCTGAAAATAAACTTCTTGACTGGATGAGATAAGAGAAGGTAGGAGCTGGAATAAAGTAATTTTAAAAAGTAGATCTGTCTTTTTATCTGTCTTCTTTGTCACACAAAGCTTCTGCAACTGTTCAAGTCGACAATAGTTGAATTCTGGCAATCAGATTTTGACAAAATGCGATATATAGCAATTGACATTGCCTGTTTTTGGTTACTGATACGTAGCAGTTTTGAAGATGTGAGTTTTTGTTTGATGACTTGCAATAACACTGCGTAATTCTAATCAGTAAAATCTCGCTTGGTTCGCTCCCCTCCACTCAGTATTATTCTCCACAATGAAATCAAATTCTGATTCTGAAATTCAAACACTCTGATTTATCTCATGCAATTTATGCCAATTTCTTTTGTTGGCTGTGGTTTCTCAGTGTCAGTATTAAAGCGCTATGCTTTCACTTTAAAGTGACTAAATGCAGCCTTCCTTAAACTGGTGACTTTCATATGTTACATTTGAGATTCCATCATCTCCTAGCCAGCATGGAGATTAAAGGGTAACATACTGGAGGATATTAAAGTGAGAAAAGCAGTGTTAAATGGCTTAAGAGCAACATAACACGCAAACCATTCGGATATCACGCTCTCCAAGGGTTGAATGTGGCACTGGGAACCCTTTTTTGAATCTCCATAGTGGTAAATCTATGAGACTCCATGGGCCATTTCCATGGTGGCCTTCAAAATATGGCAAGCAGATCTTTTGTTTAAGTAGGCACTCGATCACTTAATGTTACAATAATAACTGATTCTCAGATGTTATTTTTTAAGTATCTACTCTCACGTACATTTGAACATGTTTTAATGTATTGATTGTTGTGAATAATGAATAATTATTAGTGAAGCATATTTTATCTCTATAACAGATAGGATATTTATTCCTAGGAAATACATCCTAAGGCATTATTTCCCATCCTTGGTAGCTTTAAGATACATGGACTTCAACTCATTATCATTGCTTGTCTTGTGCACCTTAAAAGCATTTTGGTGGTGTGAATTCAACATAGTCAGGTTAGTTAAAAGTTGTTGCTGAATCTACATACTATGCTTGGGTTGTTTGTGGCTTAGCATGTTATGCAAAACTAACTTGTTCAAGATTCAATGTATTTTTCATATTTGGAAATGAAATCAGTCATCAGTAACTCATCAATTAAATGCGTTGAGTGAACACAAGCAGAGTGTGATCCCAGTGAAATTATCTGCCAATGTTAATTTTAATTGTAAGATGTGAGAGGATTTTCCCCCACCTCCAGAATAAAAAAATAAGCATGTGCTTTTCCTCTCTCCTTAGTTTTCAGCCTGTACCACCAAAGACCATCCAGTTTACATGTCTGTCTACAATAACGGCACCAAGATGCCTTCACCACAGGAGGCATCCAATGGCTTCCCCCAGCCCAGTGCCTCGGGCACTTGGCACAAACCAGAAGAGGAAGTGCGACTGGTAGAATCTGGCTTGGTGAAGAAGGCACACCGAGAAATCCTGGACCATGAGAGGAAACGGCGGGTGGAGCTGAAGTGCATGGAGCTGCAGGAGATGATGGAAGAGCAAGGGTAAGTGGGGGTTGAGTGAAGGGTCCTTGGTGCTCCCTGAGCTTGGTTGTTTCCTTGCAGACATTTCATTACCCAAACTAGATAACATCATCAGTGCTATTGGTTGAGTGAGTACTTATTTGATCTAGTACCCAAATTCACACAACACCTACCCCTGTTTCTGAGAGATCCATCCTGTTAGGCTTCTAATGACAAACCAGAAGTAGAAAAACAGATTCAAGAACTTCTAATACATACATACATACATACATACATATATACATACATACATACATACATACATTGAAAGAGAAGTAATGGAGCTATTGTGAATCGGCGTGGTGGTGCAGTGGTTAGAATTCAGTTTTGCAAGCTAATTCTGCAGACTGACAGCAGTTTGATTCTCACCGGCTCAAGGTTGACTCAGTCTTCCATCCTTCCAAGGTGGATAAAATAAGGATTTAGACTGTTGGGGGCAATAGGCTGACTCTGTAAACTGAGGGCTGTAAAGCACTGTGAAGCAGTATGTAAGTGCTATTGAAATTAATATTGTGAAAGAATTCCAATAATTGCTGTGTATTAAATGGAAGCCCTATTTATAGTGAAATTAAGGATCAAATTCCCATGCCTCCTTCTGCTCATGTGATGTAATGGTTTCCATCTACGGCTTGATTTGGTAATAGTTCCACTTTGCTTCTGTTTGTCTGCTTGTAGCCCTTCTAGAAATGACTGTTATGCACCCACACACACCTACATGCACCCACACTATCATATATCCACACACAGTACACCCATAGGAAAATAGCATCATGGTCAACACCACCTCTCTGCCATGCTGGGGAACTGTCTCTAGAAGAGTTTGACCAACTGAATTCCTTTCGGATGTTCTGTCTTGTTCCCCTCCCTTTTTGCTTCTGCATCTGCCATACACACAAAATTTATACACCACATTAAAGTATAATGTAATAATAACAGCTACTCAGTAACAGTCATCACGCTGAAAGATGGGCAGCAAACAAATTTAATACATAAAAAACGCCTTTTTTATGACCATGTTATTCCTTTATTCAGGGTAGAATTGGGGTAATTGGATGGAGCTGAGCATTTACTGACCAGGTGCCCTTCATGATGCCACGTGGAGTTCACAGCAGATATTTTTTTATTTGCATCCTAGGAAAGAAACATCTATCGCTACCTAGGATTAAACTCTCAACCTTCCAAGTGGAAGGCAAGCATCTTCATCAGTAGACCACCATGCTGCTCTAATAAATACAAAGTATTTTTAATGTGTATTGAATAGGCCACCTTTGACACATTCAGCAAATATACTTAAGTCCACATCAAAGAAATCATTATTTTAGCAGGTTACATGAAACCAGCCATAGTTTTTTCAGAGAATATTTTAATAAACAATAAAGATAGCCCTATGAAAACCCTAAAGTTTAAAGAACTGTAAAACGAAGATGCATGCCCAGATATATAGATATCGTAAGTTAATAGCAAATAAGATATTGTTTTATTTAAAAAATACTTCCATCTAAGGTCACTATTGCTAATGAACACACACACACACACACATCTAATCCATCCTTGTAAAAAAGCAGTACCTGAAGGGGAAGCCTCTTTGCTTAGGTGTTGGTTTTCCACACACTGAAACCTCACCTTCCCCCCCCCCCCCCCTACAAGAGAGTAATAAAAAAAATGCAGTTCTTCCCATCACATGAAATCTCAAATATTATGATTTACCTACTAGTCTACCACAGACTTGCATAATCTCCCCAAATTGTAGGGGATGCTCTGATTACTGGCTAATCTGCTATTCAGGTTAAATCAACCTGAACATGAATCTCTGTATAGTTCAGATTTGCTGCAGGGCATCATCCACTTGTGTGACGGGTTTCCTGCATCTCTGAGAAAAAAAACCAGTTAGGGAAGAGAGGTGTTTTGCTCATAATGTTGGAAAGAGAGATCCCCAGGCAGTGCTGTCTTCCATTTCAACCCTGCTTCACTTTTCTGTTTTGTTTTATTTTGTTTTTACTACTGGTGCACCAAGGGATTGATGCAAGGGAGCAGGGGAGCAAAAGGCCATTGGGAAGGTATGACATGAGCTTTTCTGTCCTGCTAAAAGGAAGCAGCTGCTTCTAACTCCGCCAGCTGGTTTGACTCAGATTTACCGGTAACTAGCAGCAGCAACTGTCTTAAGAAGTCAAGCTTGTCAGATTCACTTCCTTGTCATTGGCGCCCAGGAGAAGGCCCGTCTTCCATTGCTCTCAGTAGAAAGACAGCATTCTAAGAAAAAAGAAAATGCATACCCCAAATGACATATATTTGATTAGAGGCTCCTAACTAATCAACTAATTGACTAGGATTTTTAAACAGATTAGTGATACATTCAGAAAGTCATTAGCCTAGCAGAATAGATCCTTTATATCTGGATAGGGCATTATCACTGCCAATGTCTCTCCAGCATTCTCCCGTTTAAGTTAATTGCTTGGTGAACAATGTGAAATGCAAATTTCATCACGGTCCAAGTGGCAATAATGTATATATCTGCCAGCATCTTTATTCTTCGTTCCTTCATTCATTCTATGAAACAATATATTAAAAGAATATGAAAAAAAAAACCAGAGTATATTGCCAAAAACTAAAAACACGCATAGTAACTGAAGAAAAAGCTTGGATAAGCAAGAGTGTGCTTCTTAGGCAAAACTATGCATAAAAACACATGGATTTTCTCTAAATACAATTTGTAAAATAATTGGTATAAAATAATGTTAGTACATGTGATGCTTAAATGTTTCCTGCATGTTTTAAGACTCCAAAAAGCCTCTAGATAGGATGTTCATTTGCAGAAACTCCAGTTTTCAGTGCATCCTATGTCAATATTTTTTTCCTAATGTTTTTTTGACCACCAATATAATCAGGCAGTAAATAGGTAAATGGGGAAAATCCAAAATACAGTAGTCTTACAAGAATTCGTTCACTGACCGTTCAAAGCTACAGCTGCACTGTCAATTAGCAATAGCAATAGCAGTTAGACTTATATACCGCTTCATAGGGCTTTTAGCCCTCTCTAAGCTGTTTACAGAGTCAGCATATTGCCCCCAACAATCCGGGTCCTCATTTTACCCACCTCGGAAGGATGGAAGGCTGAGTCAACCTTGAGCCGGTGA